GGTTTCTTATATTTGCCTCATCTATAATTCTGAAACCCATGAATTATCAACATAATGACTTGGATCTGTTGTTGTTGTTACTGTAGTTACTTAGCATACATCTCTATTTCCTATATAATGGACCCTAAATATTATGATGTTCATGAAAAAACATTGGTGGTTTTGATGATAATATTGGGTATTATATATATTACCTTCCATTGATAGGATGAAAATAAGAGCCAAATTAACTTGTTGTTTTCGTGTGCATTCTTCAGAATTGAAAGTTTATATTTTTTGCTCAAGCCTAGATTCTTATTTAGAATTAATTTTGGTCTCAGTATATTTCTAAAGCAATCCCATAACAAAAGATTTTCTTCTGAAATCTTGTACGTTAAGCAGTATTCTTATACCTGGAACTCTTCCTCCAACACTTAAACTCACCTAATAAAGAGGTTAGACAATTATCTTTGATCTCTTGAGATTCCTATCTTAATTGTACTCTAAGGTCTCTTCTTAATTTGTCTGGGGTATATCTCCAATGTAAGTGTTTGGAAATGTATAATCTTCATTTTTGTGTATTCAGTTAAATGGCAGAAGACATTATTAAAAAATTCAATTGATGTAGCTTTAAAAATCATGTTATTTACATGTTATTGGTAGATGTATACATGAAACATTTATGAAACATTAAATCATTATGAAAATAAAGGTGACATATGATGTTAGGGTATCTCAGATAACCACTGTTTCCCAGATAACCCTCTTATGAAACTGAAGTAAGCTTTCCTACTCACTAACTCTGTGCTGTTAATATGTGTTGAAATTATATTACCATCTGTGTCAACAATCATAGATGTGTTTACTTTAAACTCAGGCATTCAGTTATTTTTAATTGTGCTTGATGGTATATACATAACATCATTGTCTGATAATACGTATGCCATCTAAGAAAATGAACAAGAAACCTATGGTACAAATCAAACTCATGCTCTCCATTTAATGCTCAATTTATGAGTAAATACAATATTTCTCACAGTTGTATTCACATTATCATCATTTTTGTTTATTTGTTTCAGAGCAGCTTCCTAGCCTACACTGCTATACAGATTCTGGTTTATTAGGTTTGGTATTGACCCATAAAATTAAATTTTTCAAGATGCCCCACATTACATGGATTACACTTTGACAAACACTAGCTTGGAAGGATCTCTCAGACTTACCTAATTAAATTCCTTTTCTGCTGTGATTGTTTCATTCTCCTTATTTCTTGTTTTTAAAGGGGGCTTATTTTTAATTGGCAAGTAATAACTGTTTATATTCATGGAGTACATAGTGATGTTTCAAAACATAATATGTAGTGACCAGGTCATACATACCTGTCATCTCAAACATTCACCATTTGTGTTGGGAATATTCAATATCCTCTATCTAGCTGTTTGAACCTACATAATATGTTATTGTTAACTATAGTCATTGTACAGTAGTACAGAACAATAGAAGACATTCCTTTTCTCAAGCTGTGATTTTATATCCTTTAACAAGTATCTTCTGTTACATAATGAAACAAGACAGATATTTGCATGGGGAAAAGAAAAATAATACATTTTTCCTAGCAACAGAAACCATCTCTCACATCACCTGTCACGTTAGAGATTTTTAAAAAGTAATAAAATCTATTATAGATGTGCCATCTCACTCACTGATAATCAACATTATCAGGTATTAGGACAAAATAAATGGCATACAGTAGTCCCCCATTTTTATCGTTTTACTTTCTGTTGTTTCAGTTACCCTTGGTCAATCAGTCTAAAAATATTACGTGGAAAATTCTAGCAATAGACAATTCAGAGGTTTTAAATTGTGCATTCCGAGTATTGTTGTAATGACTCCATTTTATTAGTAGTTACTGTTAATCTTTTACTGTGTCTAATTTACAAATTAATGTTTATCACAAGTATGTATGTATAGGGAAAAAAAGTGTATATTGAGTTTGGTAGTATCTGAGATTGCAGGTATCCTCTGGGAGTTGTAGATTATTTAAAGATAAGGACAGACTACAGTAATTCTTTCCCCTACTACGTGTTCAACTTGATAAAACAAAATTTTGAGAATTGGGCTATACACGTTCAACCTCAACTTTTCATCTACTCTTTTACTTATTTGCTCAACACAAATTGATTAAACATCTATTAGATGGCAGGCACTATGCTTTGTGTGGGACTACAAATATGAAAATGATATCATTTCTCCTTTCACACTACTTAGAGTTAATTGCCTGTTTCAAGATTCAAATTTTGTTTCAGCTTTTTAATATTCTTACATTTGGTGAACTAATATGTACAGTGATCACAAATAATTGCTATAGGGGCTATTGTTGAAAATATTACAGGAAAAATAGATATTTAATAACGGCTTAACTGAATTTACGTTTTCCTACACATCTATTTTGGTTTCTGTCAATCAACTCTGTTTTTACCTTTCATTAACTACTGTATTTTTACTAATGTTCACTTAATCATAGTGTGAACATTAACACTTAAGAAATATATAGTGATAAAATATTAGCTAAACTACGGACTTACTAAATTTCACCAAATTTTCCACTGAAGTCCTATTTTCTCTTCCAGGATCCAATCCAGGGTGCCACCTTGTGGTTAGTGTCATGTCTCCTTAGGCTATCGGAGTCTGTTCCTGTTCCATATTCTTCTCTTTCATAACTGTGATATTTTAGAACCTGTCACGTATTTTATAGGCTATTATCCTTCAATTAAACTTTGCCTGATGTTTCCTACTGATTAAATTGAGGTTTTTCATGATTGGGAATAGTTCCTGAGAGCCAATCTGTATACCATTTTCCATTTTCTCACAGGGTATATGTGTTGATAGGTAATATTATTAGTGATATTAAATTTGATCACTTAGTGTGTGGACATTTTTACTGTAGAAGTATAATTCTTTGTTAAGTATTTATCGGAGGAAAGCTAATTTAGACTATGTAAATATTCCATGACTACTATTTTTTTTTTTTTTTTTTACCATTCATCAATGTTTGTTGCTTATAGCAATTATTACTGTGCAATTTTGGTAGAAATTTACTATTTCCCTTACTCTTTCTATATATTGGAATTCTGTAAGGAAGAATTATTTCTTCCCTATGTATTTATTCAGTCTTCTATTTAAATCAATACACACTCATAATTATTTTACTTTTTTTTTTCTTTGGGGGACCGAGTCTCGCTCTGTTGCCCAGGCTGGAGTGCAGCAGCACGGTCTGGGCCTCACTGCAAGTTCCACCTCCCAGGTTCATGCCATTCTCCTGCCTCAGCTTCCCGAGTAGCTGGGACTACAGGCACCCACCACCACGCCCGGCTAATTTTTTGTATTTTTAGTAGAGACGGGGTTTCACCGTGTTAGCCAGGATGGTCTCCATCTCCTGACCTCGTGATCCGCCCGTCTCGGCCTCCCAAAGTGCTGGAATTACAGGCGTGAGCCAGCGCGCCCAGCCAATTATTTTACTCTTTGTGTTATCTCAAACTGACATCATTTATTCTCTTGCTCAAATCGTTCTAGCTTTGCTGACAGAATCACCATCAAATTGGCTCCTGGGCTCTTTGCTCTTTGAACATGTCCCTGTCTTTTAAAATTATTTTTGTCATTGGTGTTTTGTTTTTATTCCTTACACTCTAGCAGCACAAAGTGTTCCAGGTCATCTTGTATTTTCCTGGATTCAGCTCTAAAATTAACCACTTCTCCAAGGAGTCTTGCTTTTATGAGACTACTGCATGTAGAAAACAGGATCTGAACAATATAATACTATTATATGTGTACTTGTATTTTCCCTTTAATAAGGATTCACACGTTTTGAATACTTTTACATTCTCAACATTTTGCTATTACAACTTTTCAGATAATGACTTTATGTTATAGTAAAAAATGTTTATATTTGGAAGCCATAATTCTGAATTTGTGTCCGAAAACATATGCTTACTTTGTGACCACATGAAAGTTTCTTAAGCTGTCATATCGTCAGTGTCCATGTTTGCAAAGTAACAATACTATACCTGCTTCATGTGGCTGTGAATATTCAATTACATGTTATATATGAAGCATTTAGAATGATATTGAGGATATGATAGCTATTCAATAAATATCTATCCTATGTTGGTAATACAAGTGACTTTATAATAATCTATTGTATTTACACATCCCCATTTATTCAACCATTTTCTCTACTGTTGGGTATGTCTATTAATCATAGTTTTAACTTTTTTTTGTTTTTTTAGATGGAATCTTGCTCTGTCGCCCAAGGCTGGAGTACAGTGGCGTGATCTCCGCTCACTGCAGCCTCTGCCTCCCAGGTTCCAGCGATTCTCCTGCCTCAGCCTCCTGGGATTACAGGCACCCAGCACCATGACCAGCTAAATTTGTATTGCTAACAGAGACGGGGTTTTCACCATGTTGGCCAGGCTGGTCTCGCACTCCTGATCTCAGGTGATCTGCCCGCCTTCGCCTCCCAAAGGGCTGGGATTACAGGCATGAGCCATGGCGTCCGGACTTTAAAATGTTTTTTATTGCGAAATATGCATAAATTTATTTTCTTCAAATAAAGCAGCACAAATTCTGGGACTAAAACTATGACTTCTCATGACCACTGTGAGACATTTTAGAGTGGCTGGACAAATGTTTACTTCTGTGAACACAGTCCCCGACCATCAGTTTCATAGCCTTGTTTACATTCACCATTTATATCTTATCAAGCTCCATATTTAATGGAACTTGATAAATCAAAGATATTTTTTACTTACTATTTATATCACAATCTCTTCAAGTGTTATTGAAAGCCTTATTTTAAAAGTGTAGCTTTTTTATAACTGCAATATAGTTTGAAAAGTATCTATTTTTTAATGTATTTACTTTTCAATGTCAAATATGCAAGTGTGTGATAAGTAAAAAAACAATTCTATGAAATAGTTAACTTCTCGATTTGTTAAACTAATAAAAATTGAGTAGTTACTTACGTGACAGTCACTTTCCTAGTGTGTTCGGAATTGGTGGGTTCTTGGTCTCGCCGACTTCAAGAAGGAAGCCACAGACCCTCGCAGTCAGTGTTACAGTTCTTAAAGATGGTGTGCCTGGAGTTTGTTCCTTCAGATGTTCAGAGGTGTCCGGAGTTTCTTCCTTCTGGGCGGTTCGTGGTCTCGCTGACTTCAGGAGTGAAGACGCAGACTTTCGCTATGAGTGTTACAGCTCATAAAGGTGGTGTGTCTGGAGTTGTTCATTCCTTCCAGTGCGTTAGTGGTCTCGCTGGCCTCAGGAGTGAAGCTGCAGACCGCTGCAGTGAGTGTTACAGCTCTTAAAGGCAGAGCGGACCCAAAGAGTGAGCAGTAGTAAAATTCATTGTGATGGGCAAAAAAACAGCTTCCACACTGCGGAAAAAAACCCAAACAAGCTAGCACTGCAAGCTGGGGCGGGTGGGTGGGGTGGGGGGGCCCTGCATCTATTCCCTTATCTGGTCCCACCCACATCCTACTGATTGGTCCATTTTGACAAAGCGCTGATTAGTGCCTTTACAATCCTTTAGCAAGACACAAAAGTTCTCCAAGTCGCCTACTGATTAACTAGACACAGAGCGCTGATTCGTGCATTTACAAACCTTGAGCTAGACACAGAGTGCTGATTGGTGCGTTTACAAACCTTTAGCTAGACAGAAAAGTTCTCCAAGTCCCCACCGGATCCGGAAGCCCAGCCGGCTTCACTTCGCAATGGGACTGGCGGAAGGACTTTGCTGCATCTAGCTTGGGCACTCCAGCAGCCCAGAGGAAGCTCGTCCCCCATCAAGCCCAGCAGGCGCCCAGCAGGCACCCAGCAAGCCCAGGCCGCGCCAAGTGCGGGGCCCACCAAGCCCACACCCACCCAGAATCCGCGCCGCCTGCAGCCCCAGCTCCCGCCCGCGTCTCTCCCTTCACACCTGGCGGCGAGCAGAGGGAGTCGGCTCTGGCCTGGGCCAGCCCCAGAGAGGGACCCTCATAGCGCAGCGGCGGGCGGAAGGGCTCCTCCAGCGGCCAGAGCGGACGCCAAGACCGAGGAGGCGCCGAGAGGGAGCGAGGGCTGCTAGCAAGTTGTCACTTCTCACTAGTAACCTTGGGAGCATGGTTAAATAAGATAGTTATTTCCTTACAGAAACAAACAGATCAAAAGAGGGGTTGAAAGTGAAAACAAAAAATTGCAATTCCTTTTTATACTGCAATGTGTAAGGATAGAAGAATGGAGGAAGGAGCTCAATTTTCTCAAAGACATTATGAAAATCTTTTGAGAGGTAAAATTCTCCTGAACTCTGAGAATAATTACTATATTGTAGGGAAGATATTCTAAACAAAATGACACATATTGATAAAGGTAGTTTAACAAGCTATTTAAATTTAAATTTAAATAATATATTCCAATGAAGTTAAATGACAATTTCCAATTAAATTACAATAAACTTGAGTGGTTTTGACTGGGAGTGAGATTTCCCACTAGAAGACATTTGGCAATATTTGCAAATATTGTTGATTTTATGATGATGAGGTGATGTGAACAAACATTATTGTTGTCTAGAAGGTAGATGTTACTTAAGCTGCAAAATAATCTAATCTTCACAAGACAACCCTCACAAAAAAATTTACCCAGTCAGAATGTTAATAGTGCCAATTTTGAGAAAGCCTATGTGAACAATTGCTATTTAATATTGTGTGATTGTTTTATTGATTTTAATCAGCTCAAGCTGGAGGAGAGTGCTGTTCAAAAGTCTTCTGTAATATTGCTCTTCTTTATTTGCTCCCTTAATAATTAAGACTGATATTAAAATTCCAAGTTAAATTATGTTTTTACCTTTCTTGTCAGTTTTGATGTCAGGTATTCTGGAGCATTTGTCATTAGTACATAAATTTATTTTTTATGCTTACAGTTTTTTGTTTGTTTGTTTTTTGAGATGAAGTTTTGCTCTTGTTGCCCAGCCTGGAAAACAATGGCACGGTCTTGGCTCACTGCAACCTCTGCCTCTCAGTTTCAAGTGATTCTCCTGCCTCAGCCTCCCAAGTAGCTGGGATTACAGGCACGTGCCACCACGCCCAGCTAAATTTTTGTAGTTTTAGTAGAGATGAGGTTTCGCCATGTTTGCCATGCTGGTCTCAAACTCCTGAACTCAGGTGTTCCATCTGCCTCAGACTCCCAAAGTGCTAGAATTCCAGATGTAAGCCACTGTGCCCGGCCCGTTCTGGCTTTTTTAGTTGCCAGAATTCTTTTCTCGTTCTTTTTCATCTTTGTGGCCTGATGTTCCTTTAATCTGTGAAGTTACTGCCCTTTGGACTTTTGTTTTCTTTTTAATAATCTTTGATACCCTGGGATGTTTGATTTTCTTATGAGTTCAGTCAGCTGGCTCTGACTCTGGAAGATGAGCTCAGCTCATCACTCCTAGGCTGTGTGCTCTAATTGTGAGGGTTTGTATTGTGCCACTGACTTTGTTCTCTGACTCCTTTAGGTTAGAAACCTGCTGTGCTGAAGGGGTCAAGGTGTTCCCAGTCCACTGGCCCCAATACTGTGATGAGGGGTGTCAGCCAAAGCACTTTGTAAAGGTGGGGGTTTGTGATCCATGCTCACATGTATGTACCAGCAGCTGCAGGGTCATGGTGTGGCGCCCATACATTGGAAGGGTAGTGATGGATTCACCAGCATCTACGCGCACATTTGTGTTGGTGGCATTGGTGGTGGCAGTGGTTTAGTGCAGGTTGGGGAGATGGTTCCAGTGTCTGTACACACACTTGCACTGGCTACAGTGGTGATAACATGGCTGGCTGTCAGTGCCTCAGTGGGGGCAGCATGCCAGCAGGGGTGGATAGGACAGTGGGGTCTACTCATGCTGGCAGTAGGGTGGTGGGGTACATGTGCACGTATGCACCATCAGAGGAGGGGAGAAAGATCAGCCCATATGCACATGCTAGTGAAGTTGTAGTGGGACTTCCATGGGGGCTGTGTGTGTTAGCAAAGCAGCAGGTGATGGTTGTGTATGGCTGCTCATGTCGGCGGGGTCCAGTCTGCTAGACCTCTTCATTAGTTGTGTGTGGCCTGCCAGCAGAGCAGCTATGATGAGGGCCCCCAGAAAGCACCCTGATTGGGTATTGGAGGCTGTGCTGCAAGTGGGGACAGCCAGGCGGGAGCCCCAGGAAAGGCTGGGAGACAGGGTGGCAACTCAGATAAGGCTGTCTCCATTACACAGATAAGATCTCCCTGTTTTGTCCAGGTCCGTAAGTCCCCTAAAGGCTAAAGCCTCCTAGAGGAGCTTGGTGATCCTTGGGGAATGGGTATCCCTGGCCATGCTCCACTGAAGCTCTTGCTGCATGAAACCCTCTGTGCTCTGTAAAATCTGGAGTCCTGCCCCCATTGGTTTTCTAGGCAGCAATTCCTGCCTGTTCAAGTGTCCATGGGGGATCATTGGTTCTACTGCCACTAGGATTCTGGAGGCCCATGGATAAAGCAGGTTCTGTCTATTCAACTCACCCATTCACCAGGAGTCAGTGGGGTCCAGGAGCGGGTCCTAGTCCTCAGTAGTCCTGTGTAGGGTTCTCAGCTTTCTACCTTAGCCCAGTGTCTGCACCTTCCCATTGTCCACTTTCAATCCCTTCTCTCTGAAGATATGTTCAGAGTGTGCCAGTCTTCCCAATGTCTCAGGAACTGGGAAACATTCTTTCTGGCTGTGTCCACTCAACCATCTTGGCTCCCCCTCTATATTGGTATCTTAAATACATTGTTTACCTTTTTGCTACCAAAAAGTTGACTATTATGTGTCTCTGAGAATCTTTTTGTGTTTATCAAATTTAAGTTTGGTTTAGTCTCCTACATCTGCATATCACTGATATTTCTATAATTACAGAAGTTTTTGAAATATTTTTATCCTTTTTTCCTTAACGTTTGCTGCTACTCTGACTCTATTAATAAACATAATAGTAGTACTACAAGTGTCCAAGGATTTGATTTAGTGATCTTTTCTTCTATTTTATTTATAATGGATAGTGTCTATTTACCTCTTATTAAGTTGGTTGATTCTTAATTCTGCCGTCTCAATCTTCTGTTGCATCTAACAAGTAAATTTTTCATTTCAGTTATTCTGTTTAACTCCAGATTTTCTATTTGATGATTTCAGAAAAAAAATGTTTTTGATTTTTCTTTTTTAAATTTTCTATTATTATACTTTAAGTTCTAGGGTACATGTGCATAACGTGGAGGTTTGTTACATATGTATACTTGTGCCATGTTGGTGTGCTGCACCCATCAACTCGTCAGCACCCATCAACTCGTCATTCTCTTTTTCTAAGTGATTCATTTTCTACAGTACTCTTTTCTGAAAATTCTGACTTGTAGAACTGTGAGGAAACAAATTTTTGTTCTTTATAAATTATCCACTCTTAGGTATTGTTATAGAAGCACAAATGGACTAAAACAAATGCTCAGGCAGCTTACAGTTCTGCCGAAGACTTCACTTTCTCCTTTTGCAGAGCCTCAAGTCAGGCGTGGTTTGAGCCTCTGGGTTTGACAGCTGAATATCTGTATTTTAAGAAGCCAATTGCATATTATACACTGAACCATGAGGAAAATTTTTCTTAATATATTACTTCCATACTCAACTCTAAAATTTATTTTCAATGGATTTAATTTCTTTATTGATATTCACTTTTTGTGATTTTCTCAAGTACTATAAACATGTTTCTGATTCTTTGAAATACTAGCTAACGGTTTCTTTGAAATATGAGTCTGCTAAATCCAACATCTGTGTCCAGTCATAGGCAGTGCTTATAGACTACCTGTCAATCATATGCAAGTATAGATTATATTTCCTCTTTCTGCTTTTCATGACTCATAGATTTGCATTGAGAACTGGAAATTTTGTAATGTATTTTAGCACCTCTAAAATTTGATTTAATTTTTTCCCTCTATGATTCTCTGTTGCTGTGTGTGTTTTTCTTTGTTATAAAATACCTTGTTGAGAATTAATGTGCAGTATTTGGCCACTAATTTCTCTGCTCAGTCTTTCCTTTGCATTATTAACTTTTAGCTCGACTTTCTAAGAGTTACCTCTTTGTCTTC